GTGTGTATATATATATATATATACACACACACACACATATATATATATATTATGAAATAGACTAAGAAAAATATATATATAAATATATATATATATATATATATATATATATATATATATATATATATAATTATGAAGTGGACAAAGTTCGACAATTATTTTAATATATTTATTGTTTATACGTTATTTTTATGAATAAAAATTGTAGAGGGTTACATTAAGCAGCAGTTTATACGGATAGGGGAGGAAAATAACGGTTGACCCTAGACTTGAACAGGTTAAGTTTGTAGTGATTGCGGAAGCATCTTCTTGGGAGTAGGTTCCACTGAGCAGTGATTCGCGAGAGGAAGCTGCTCGAGTGGAACTTACTTCGCACCGATGGAATACGGGGGGAATATAGGTGGTTTGCTACAATGTAAGTGGCATAGCGAGTCCGAGCGGAACCAAGGTTCGTCTGAGCACTTTCCATGTAGGTAGCGATAGAGCAGTGAAAGGCTTGCGACATCCCCCACTGTGTGAGAAAGGTTGGAGGGTGGAAAATAATTTGTTACCCACAAGGACTCGGAGACGCTTTTGAACTCTAATGAGACTGGAAAGTGAGGACTGGGTAAATCCTGCCAAAATATGACAACAGTCCTCCATTTTAGCCCTGATCTGGCTCTTGTTAGAGGATAGTATGAGGAGTCAGTTACTTGTTGGAGCAGTTCAGAGAGCCGAACATTTTTCAATCGTCTTTGACGATTGATACTTTGGTTGAGGAGCAACTAAAGTCTGTATTCTTTAAATATTTTTCGTAATTTAATTTTTCTAAGGTTCAAACCATTTCTCTGTTCTCGGATGAGAATTCGAATATTGTTTTCTGAGCAAGTTCAGCCTTAATAAGCCATTATGGAAGAAAATGATGTATCAATTTTTATTAAAAAAAAAAAAAAAAAAAAAAAAGGAGCCGACCATAGTCGGTATCATCCAGTCAATGCGAACGACCAGATCCTTAGCTGCATAGTAAGCGCTTTGCCGGGGCTAGATACGGTTTTAAATTCAGAGTTTTCCTTTTTCTAGACCGGTTGCAACCCAAGGCTATAGAACCCAGTCTACCCTGCTATTTAGTCATAGTTGGGGAGAGGAGAAGTGTTGGATTCATACTTTTCCCAAGTATATTAGCACTTAAGTTAATTCAATGAACTCAAGTGAAATTCGAACTCGGCTCTCCGATTCCTCAATTAGAGGCGTAATCCATTATTCTACCGTGCCTATATCTTTATAAACCAGAATAATGTTAGAAAAATTAATGAAAAAGTAGAAAATATTTTCGTAACCAATGTCAAACCCAACAAATCAAAATATATTATTCAACCCACCAATTCTATCACAACTACAACAGTGAAGAATTTATCTAAGCTTAACAAAAAAATTGTTACGACTACTTCTAAGACAATTTAATACAAAACAAATAAGCTAAACCTACAGGAGGAATTTACTCTATCACCTGTAATAATTGCCACAGCGAATACATAGGAGAAACCTCAAGGAATTTACATAATAGATTATGTGAACACAAAAGGGATATTTTACAAAATAACACACTAAATGTATTAGTTGCTCACTGTAAAGAGTGATCCTAATTTTGATTTATAAAATGCTACTCTAATTAAAAGAGAAAGCAATTTACGAAGACGAAAATCTTTAGAAAGTACTTTAATCACTAAATCATCCACAGTAAATTTGCGTCCAGGTTCTTCCAGCATTTCACCTTCCTTGGCAGATCTTCCATTATCACAATGTGGGATATTTAATAAGAGAAATTATAAAACAAGAAAAACAAAACTAAATGAAATTGGCTAGACTATAAATATAGCATACTTTTATATATATATATATATATATATATATATATATATATATATATATATATATATATATCCCAGAGCAATTTTAGGAAAATCTATGATAAAGTAGATACAAAACCTTGTAAAATATTTCAAAATAGAAGAGTGGGCCATTCAGACAAACTCAACAAAGCAAAATATATTATTCTACCCACCAACTCTATCATAATTACAACTGTGAAGAATTTAAGCTTAACAATAAAAATGTTACAACTACTTCTAAAACAATAAAAGACTTAATACAAAACAAATAAGCTAAAACCTGAAGGAAGAATTTACTCTATCACCTGTAATAATTGCCACAAGAAATACATAGGAGAAACCTTAAGGAATTTAAATAAAAGATTATATGGACACAAAAGTGATATTTTACAAAATAACACGCTAAATGTATTAGTTGCTCACTGCAATGAGTGACCATAATTTTCATTTAAAAAATGTTACTTTAATTAAAAGAGAAAGCAATTTACTAAGACAAAAATATTTAAAATGTGTTTTAATCACTGGATTATCCACAGTGAAATTGCATCCAGGTTCTTCCAGCATTTCACCTTCCTTGGCAGATCTTCCATTATCACAACGTGGGATATTTAATAAGAGAAATTATAAAAACAAGAAAACAAAACTAAATGAAATTGGCTAGACTATAAAAATATATATATATATATATATATATATATATATATATATATATATATATATATATATATATATATATATATATATATATATATATATATATATATATATATATATATATGTGTGTGTGTCAAAATGTAGTTATTGTCTTTGTCGTGTATTTGAATTACTATAAACATGCCTTTATTTTCATTTAATATAAACTTATATATATAAAAAATATATTTATATATATAATCTTCTTAATAAGTCAATGATAGATATTAATACTTCTTAATTTTGATCATTAATCTTATTTTCAAGTCAATAAACATCGTCAGTTAAAGAGTGAGTATATCTTTGGGAAAACCTGTATTATATATACATATATATATATATATATATATATATATATATATAAATATATATATATATATATATAAATAAATAATCAAAAAAATAATAGAATCAATCAATAATATTAATGCTATTATTGGTGATATGACATCGCTAGTAGAATATAATGTATGCATTAAAGTACTGTTAATCCATAGAGTGATGTGATCCTCATTTATAAAACTGTTGTCTGTTGTTTCCAGTTTATATTTTTTTAAAATGCAAGTACTTTCGAATAATCCGTCAGGCATATCTTTTCCTTATAAAACTTGGAGACGAAATAATTGTTTGTAGACCGAAAGATGTTTTTTTTTTTTGAGAATGTGCTATTATTGACGGTTGTGTACAATATCGGTACGTGCAAAGACGCAACGCTAAGTTTTTCAAAATTTTAAGTGAGAATTTTATTTGAACTTTTCTTGTGATGTGGTAAATCCACGTATTCTATTTTTACAAGTGTTTTCAGTTAATATGTCATGAACTAAGTATATAGTTCAATTAATATAGTGTTATGTCTTAGTAGTAGTTTTTTTATAGGAATTTTTTTGTACTGCAGATCGATAGTTTTTTATAATTTTTAATTTTTATGCTGCCTAAATTTTTATGTTTATATATATATATATATATATATATATATATATATATATATATATATATATATATATGTTAAAATAGAAGAATGTACTATTCAGACAAACCCATCAAATCAAAATATATTATTCTACCCACCAACTTTATCACAACTACAACAGTGGAGAATTTAACTAAACCTAACTTAAAATTTGTTACAATTACTTGTATAACAATAAAAAAAACTTAATTAATATAAAACAAAATAAGTTAAATCTTGAAGGAAGAATGTAGACAGTAAGATCACAGCAAGCGGCAACAAACTGTGTTATTCTTAAAGGCAATCTTTAATCTATGTATGTTGTGTTTTAGTTCGGCTATTTATATATGCGGGCTAATAGTGCATTATGGGTAGAAGGTCTATTGTATGATTCTAACGGTTATTAGATAGGCATTAACAGTTATATTTCAAATTAATCTAGAAGTTATTGTATATAAATAATTGTGTATCCGAATGCGGTTATTTGCAGCTATTTTTTTTAGTGTTGTTTTACTCATTATTTATTAGCTATTTTCAGTTTTTGGTCAGACACGGAAGTACTGTGTCGGCCATATTCTGTATGTGTAAATCAAAAGCAGGAGCATCGCTTCTACAGTCGGAAGTCACTAGACTAAACTGCTTTGTCATTGTTATTACAGACCCCCTTATTGTGAGAGATAGTAAAAAGGAAGACATTGCTAAGAGCTACAAAGGATAGGAAGTTCCGGAGAGACATGATCCCCAATGACTTAAGACAAGGCGGATAAAAAAAACAAAAAAGAAAGGTGCAACTAAGACATGATTGGTGGTTAAGATATATCCGTAATCTCTACCAACGCCTGTAATCGAGCCAAGATGTCGAGGTGGGGGGTTCATTTTAAAGAAGATCTGTAATTGGACCACAGAGAATACAAACTTTCTCACTTCCTTTTGGCTCAGTGCCATATGAAGTAACGTTTAGACAATGGGCACAGTCATTTGATTTTACTTGGTCGTCCACTAATATAATAAAATAATGAGCGAAGGATCAGAGCCACGAATTCCGTATGATTTAATTGATGCCGACAACCACATCACGTTGAAACATCCGTCCTGGGTATGACGATAAACTACATCCGGCAGCAAGGCCTCTGATCGAGAAGTTTTGAGGAGCGTGAAATCATCTCTTAAATGCTGTTGTTCCTGGGTCCACCCTGACCTGTTAGGGTCCCAGCTATGGGCAAATAGTTAATCCAAAACTGGGGTCATAACACGATGAAACTATAAAAAAGAATTATAGTAAAAATACCAGAAATACATTTTTGTAAAACATTTTTTAAAATCCTTTACTATAACGAAAAACAAATATTACCAAAAATACATTTTTGTTAAGAGAATTATCAAATTTCAGCATTAAATGATTCATAAGGTGTTGATGTGCCGCTAACAAAAGTTAAGACATTTCATGAATTTCATGAATTTCATCTTACAAATAGCTAAATAGTTTGGACTTACGGCCACGTCATGTTGAAACACCAGGTTCTCGTATGATCACCGAAGTTAAGGAACGTCAAGCTTGGTTAGTACTTAGATGGGTAATCGCTTGGAAATACCAGGTGCTGTAAGCTTGGATGTGCGAGTGGTGTAATTTTTAAAGGGTCGGAATTGGAAATCGGACAACTGAGTTCCAGTTCAAGTTGAGTTCGTTATATTCACTTACAGGCCAATACCGCTGAGAAAGGCATGAATCCATATCTTCTCCCTCCAGCTTTGGGTTTATTAGTAGGACTTGTATCAGTAACTCATTATTATCTCCAAAAATTCTTACAGTCTTAAAAAATAGTTTCTGGCTTTAAATAACCCGCAAAAGGTTGATAAGCCGTAAAAAATAAATTAGTCAATCAAACAATCCAGTAATTCATAAATGGGTAAACTCATCCCGTAAAAAGTCGGGAAGCGGGCGATTCTCGTAAATACAGTAGTAAATACTGTATGTTCGTCAGCAGTTGGAGATTCGTCTCCAGCTGGTCAAACTCTCCGAGCAGAGAGAATCCCCAGACGAGGCTATGTCGAAGGGCAGAGTTTCGTCTCAGGAAACAACCACCCGACTCCGTTTTATACGTGGTCTACGGGGAATTTTTGGCCGAGCCTACAGGCTCAAATACCCCACATGAAATTCTGCCTTGTGCCACATCTGACGACTTGGGGCGGTTGGTAGATATCCTACAGTTGGAAATTTTAGCAGTTGACTACTACTTCTACGCGCCGCTGGTGAATCTTATATGTGTTGTTCTTGTCCTAAGTATTATTGTTCATTACCAACCTTCGTTTGATTATTCTATTCAGTAACCTTCCCTAAGTTACAATACTATTTCAGAAGGGCTTATTTTTTTTACCTTTTCGAAAGAACTATGATCAGATGTTATTTTTCAATAAGATACCAAAAATTGGCTTCAGAGCATGTTCACCAGGCTCATGTTTTGGTCAGGTCAGAATTCAGATCTGAACTCCCTGGAACATAATCGGTATCAAATCTTGGCCCACATGCAGTTCTAAAACCGGGGTGTCTATTCAAACGCAGGTATCACCCACTAGATATAAGGTTTGCAGCAATTAAAAAAAAATAGACGGATTAAAAATTAAAAAAAAAATCAATCCTTTAGAAATTGCTTTGTTTCCTTACGTATACGAAATCAAGCAAATATGGCTTTTCGAGAAGATCCCATCGAGGGCATGTGCATTCAAAAAAGCGGTAAATAGACTTTGTTGGGCTGTGACGTCCTCCATAGTTGAGCGATCTAAAGCCTGACGGATCTCCTGAACGAAGGTTCACTCCTTGCGGGAGAGCTCATTTTCATTATTAAATTTTCTCGAGTGCGTAGGCCGGCAGACGTAATACACAGTTTTAAAAACGAGGCGTCTACTCAAACACAGCTTTACTATACTAAAAATAACGTTTGCTTTCGTGGAACCGATTCCCAGGAGGATACTTCCCCGATCACTACAATCTTCATCTGTGCAAGTCTTGGGTTAACTGCTTTCTTACCCATATATCCGCATAAACCGTGCCTCTTACTCTGTAACTCTCTACCTCGAGTAGCTTTTGAGCCTTATACCGGATGAAAAGTATTGTGAAAGAATGTAAAAATAAAATAAAAATCCATTTATTCTTTATAACAGTGGTTCTTAAGCTTTTTTCAGTCATGGACCCCTTTAGTCACGGACTCCTTTAGTCACGGACTACATTAGTCACGAACTCCTTTAGTCACGGACACCTTTAGTCACGAACCCATTTAGTCACGGACCCCTTTCGTCACGGACCCCTTTAGTCACGGACTCCTTTAGTCACGGACCCCTTTAGTCATGGACTACATTAGTCACGAACTCCTTTAGTCACGGACCCCTTTAGTCACGGACTCCTTTAGTCACGGACACCTTTAGTCACGGACTCTTTTAGTCACGGCTCTTTTTAGTCATAGACCCCTTCAGTCATGGACTACTTTAGTCACGAACTCCTTTAGTCATGGACCCCTTTAGTCACGGACCCATTTAGTCACGAACCCATTTAGTCACGGACTAGTTTAGTCACGGACTCCTTTAGTCACGGACACCTTTAGTCACGGACTACTTTAGTCACGAACTCCTTTAGTCACGGACCCCTTTAGTCATGGACCCCTTTAGTCACGGACCCATTTAGTCACGGACTAGTTTAGTCACGAACTCCTTTAGTCATGGACCCCTTTAGTCACGGACACCTTTAGTCACGGACTACTTTAGTCACGAACTCCTTTAGTCACGAACTCCTTTAGTCATGGACCCCTTTAGTCACGGACCCATTTAGTCACGGACTAGTTTAGTCACGAACTCCTTTAGTCATGGACCCCTTTAATCACGGACACCTTTAGTCACGAACTCCTTTAGTCACGAACTCCTTTAGTCATGGACCCCTTTAGTCACGGACCCATTTAGTCACGGACTAGTTTAGTCACGAACTCCTTTAGTCACGGACCCCTTTAGTCACGGATACCTTTAGTCACGGACTACTTTAGTCACGAACTCCTTTAGTCACGGACCCCTTTAGTCACGGACTATTTGAGTTAAAGAACCCTGTAAGAACAAGCCCTTCATTAATAGATGGATGGACCGACAAGCTGAAGCTGACAGTGTGATTGATTTTTCATAACGCTTGGACGTGCATTTTTCCATACTGCACTCTCATGTACAGTGCACACACACATATCACGTTTCAGCCAGCCACGCTTGAGAGAAATTGTGATCAATTAATTCTCACCAGTATATGAGAAGATAATCAAATCGCGATAAAACGGAAAATGAGAATTATCTCTTTCTCTTATGGAGTGGCAAAAGATGGCGGTCGTGTAGAGAATGATGCCACACGTTTAAATGGTAAACACGAACCCAACAGCAAGTGAAGAGAAGTCTAGCAGTCGGCACTATATGTAGTGGCTGGATGCGTTTTCTATCAAGCTGTAGCAGTACGTATTTTTTTTTTATTTCTTCCAGTGGAAAACCATTGATTGGGGAGGGGGGGCAAGGATGTATAAGTGAATATAAATGTTAATTTTTATCTTATCCTCAAGGACCCCCTAAAATCCAGGTGAAGAGACACTGACTTAGAATCTGAAAATAAGATAATTTCTGGGGACACATAATGAGGAAGAAGGGCTTGGATCCCAAGTTAAGAAGATATGCTTTAGAAATTACTTTTCTTTTTGTGAAAATCTGTCCACTAGTTAAGAAATTAAAGTAAAAGGTTTTCAGTTATTTTATTTATTGTATTCTTTTTTTTATTTCTTGTATTGATCTATACCCGCTTACGGGGGCAGGATTCGACACGTGATCGGTTTAACGAGGAGTGTCCATACGCGTCCATGTGAACCCAGGGCATAGATTACATTGTCTCTACGACCACCATCACGTTGGAGTTGTTGTCCGCCAACTTTCTGTCTTTAACGTAATTAGGGAGATGCTGCAGCAAGGTTGGAATCCTCGGAACTGGGTAGCTTTCTACCTATTTACTGGTGAGTGATCTGTTGTTAAGCCCATTAAAAGATTAATATTTTGGGCTTGCCATTTTTTTTTTTTTTTTTTTTTCCCCAGGAGTGTAATAGCTGGGTTACTGGGTTGGGTACATGAAGATATATAGAATGCAACAGTTTAGTGTGCCGGACACGATATGTGGTTTAAAAAAAAAAAAAAAAAAAAAAAAAAAAACAAAAAACAACCTTACATTGGGCGTGGGATTTAGACATTCCTGCGGTCTGTATTTGCGAAGGTGGAACTCAAGAATTGTAAGTTCAATGACTGATTCTGCCGTATAACAGGGAAGATTAACTGTGTTAGTGTTCTTAAAATATGGATTTTATTAAGGGTGCACTCCCCAATAGATTAAGCAAATTACTGACGGGCACTCCTAGAAAAATATTTCACCTTCATCTAGATCAGAAATAGGGAGTAATTATAGGCAAGGAGTGTCACTCAATCGTTGATTTGGTTTGTTTGTTTAACGGCACATCAACTCTAAATGGGTCATTTAATGTCGAAATTTAATTTTCTTGAGAGCTTTGAAGAAATAAAAAATACGATATAGGTTATTCTGCTTTCACAATTTAATACGATGATAAATACTCAGCTTTTATATATATACATATCTGTGCGGACATAATTACTAGAGGATGTGATATGTGTGTTTTATGCTGTAGTTTTGTTGAAGTTATTTTTTGGAATACAGTTTGATTTTAAAAAAAAAAAAAAACTTGTAGGATATTATATTGATGAATGCCATGAAAGAGTTCATTTATGTTTGTTGGTTGGTTGATTTTGTTTAGTGGAATATAGACCTCTAGGTTATTTAATCTCGAAATCTAAATATTTTTAACAATTTTATGGTTTCAACTAAATATATTTTGAACACAATTATATGACATCAACTTGATTAAGAAAAAAATAAATGAAGATGAAGAAAATAATATATTAAAATTAGAAACAAACAGGTACATTACATTTAGAAAAGACAGGATTCAACCATGAGAGTTGGCATGATTTTTTTTTAACTGATTGATGAAAGGTTGGAATTCTTGGAGAGACCTTATCCATTTTTCTTCGCATTGTATTTGTTTTAAATAAAGCTGAATAACATTTGACTGAGTTTAAAATTTACATACATCAGAATTTAAATGGTGAGCTTCTGTTTAACTGTAAATTGATTTGATTTATTTGTTTAACGGCATATCAACTCCCTATTTTTTTTTAAGCATTACGCCCCGAGCAAGACGTGAAGCCACTAGGATGCAGGAGGTTGCAGAAGATTTGGAGCGAGAGCAGATAGGAGTGATAGAAGAAAGGATGAGAAGAGGGATAGTGGATAGATCAAGGTAACTGGAGATGTCGATTGACATTACATTTGAATAGTTGGAGATTATGGACCATTTAATGCCGAAATTTAATTTTCTTAAGAGCTTTGAAGTAATAAAAATATAATATACGTTATTCTGCTTTCACAATTGAATACATGGTAGATGATACTCAGCTTTTATGTATACGCATGTTTCTGTGGACATAATTACTATAGACGGTAATATGTGTGTTTTATGTTGTAGTTCTGT